CTCGTGAGCCCCTTGAGCATGAGGAATCCGGTGAGCCGCTTGGCGTGAAATAATTCCTCGCACTAGTGTATGTTCTAACCATATGCGTCTGCGGCGTAGGCAACCTCCTATTGCTCATAGTTATCGCCGCGTATAAGAAAATGCGGACGATCACCAACGCGCTGATCGCAAACCTGGCTTTCTCCGACTTCATAGTCGCTGTGGTTTGCATGCCGCTGATAATGGACTACTACATAGTCCGCCCTGACCGCTACTGGACATATAGCGACACCACATGCACAGTCATCAACTACCTGCGGATGGCATCTCTGTACGTGTCCACCAACTCTCTTCTGGTCATCGCGATTGATCGGTGAGTAAAAGCAACCCTATTTACCAGCTATTAACGAATGCGACGATACGATTTGAAAATGGAAAATGAGCATCTTTTGTTTACAACAAAAAAGAGAGTTGAACTCTTTAGTATGATACAATCAGCGTTTCCCTACTTTATCAGTAAATAATGCGGACAAATTCATATTTCTGATGAGTTTAGACAAACCTCTGATCATTAAAAACATATCTATTTTTACATCCTCACCATAACCAAGAAGCGAGGAGAAGCCGAATTCACTTACCAGACTATAGTACTAGTGTTGGGTCGGGTGTGTATTCATGTATGTTAAAACTGTCTTTTGTTATGACCCGAACCTTACCCAGAGGGTATACATGTACAACAAATGTCTTCATGATTCATTGACACCTTTATACACTGTATTTTATATAATTACGTGCATCTTACAGGTAGTTGATGAAATCTAACAGCGTAGAATTGTGTCATCTATATAGATGCGGTCGCTTCTACTTTACAAATAACTCTTAAAAGAAGTGACGATCAGTGTCAAGCTACAAGAAATATATGATCCAAACCGGGTAGTGCATGCTGGTCAGCTAAAGGTATCCATGGCTGTGTCTTATCGGCATATTTCAATAGCAAATGTGCCAATTTCTTATTACGTATCCTCTTACTGTAAGTGCTCTCAATTGGACGTCGCATTATATATTGTGTCAAAAGAAGAATATTCCCTTTATAAGCCTGTCGTTAGAAATGAACATTTTTTTGGTTTCAAGTTTTCAAGTTTTATTCATAAAAATCAGCCTTGCAGCAAGTGCACAAACAAGCTGAATAACACTGTTTTTTTTACAATTGTGTAGTAAATACAAATACAAATTAACATTACAACACGTATACTGACACACAAACAAACACATTACAAAGCCGCACATGGGCACTAAAGTAAAGTCCAGAGATCTCCTGAGAGTCTTACTGCAAAGACTCGTTGTACAGGCATATTACCTTGTGTAAGAAAGAGTTTTTCAGTCTTTTTGTACGGGCTGCTGGTACTGCAAGTGCAGTTACATTTCTTAATGTCCTCCCAGTGGCCGTTGTCCTGGCCGGTGGGACCAGGTCATGGAGGGGATGACCCTCGTCCAGCATGTTCTTAAGTAGCTTCACTGCCGACACCTCTCACCTTCGCCTTTGGTGAAGGTATGAGATCGTGGAACTCTTGATATACATGTATACCGTAGCTTTCTTGTCCAGTGATTGTCTGCGCTCTGCGAATATTAGTGGTGGAATATTACATGCCTCATTCATGAGTTCGCGAGAGATCGACGTTTTTTCCGAGAAAAGTAACAATTATAAAAGGCATCCGATGTAATTTCAGGGCGGCAAAATTAACATATTCTGTAAAAGGCAATCTGCATGATATTGACACATACTACCCCACATTAGCACATTTCTATTCAATACTTCATACCTTGGGCATTTTAAGCAGTGCAGAAACAAGCCCCAAGATGAGTTCTTTATTGGTGGTACCCAAAACATCAGCCCAGGATCTTACCAGTAACCGTTTTCCTGTCGCAATTTTCGGCATTTTTGCCCCGTAAATATCAATATATTTATAATATATATACTTTTGTTTTCACCTTGGCAAGATAAGACTGGAAAGATGACATTAAAAGTGGTTTTCAATCCCTAGAAACTGCAATAACACATCTATAAACATCAACAGTACAAGATTTACTTTCATTTGATGGTGTCCTCATTAGACGTCATTCCCGAATGAGCTAATTAGGAAGAACCAGAGCGTCTGGAAACATAAAACATAAGATATCTGCAAGAGACTGGTAAATCTCCAAGCGGTATAGTGCAAGTAAATATGTAAGAACATACAACTTCTTTCTAACTTTGCTTATGCAAGGATGTTATGAATCATTTTTCATTTATTTTTATTTATTTTATTTAACCAGAGTAGTACACTTAGGTCTAACTGACCTGTTTTTCAGGTATCCCAGGGGTTACATATATAAAATACACAATATACATGGGAAAATAAGAATACACAATAAGAAGATACATTACAATTTCAATTCAACATACATACCAATCGTAAAAACATATGCCACTCAAGTCCCACTCACAGAGAGTCTTTGAAAGATGTTAAAGTTGAGAGCTGTCTTTGCTCCCTGGAAAGTTGGTTCCACAGAACTGGGCCCTGGTACTGCATATACCCTTTGATTTGAAAGCGTTCGTATTTGAAGCTAGGGGATAAATCGCCAGGCCTAGGACCTCACGTGTATAAAGAGTGTGAGATGAAAGCACTGTGGCACATCAACTGTTGATCCACCCTTCAAATATGACCAGGGGACAGAGGTGCTTTTAAAATGCTCGAGGTGGAATACTCTAATAACAGACGTTCACGTAAACCTTCATTCAAAAGACTTCTATCCCGGAGTGTGTACGTAGGCGTATAACGCACTGGGTGTGCAAAGGCTAGGTGCAACAAATCGTTCTGTGTGATATAGCCAGCTGCCACCGTGCCGAGAGGCGGTTATACATGCTATACAGATACAGATGTTTGATTGGCATCGAATCCTTGACGCCAATTGGACACGCACTAAACAGTTTTTTTTTTAATTCTGATAGGTAAAATCCGAGCCCATTTTAATTTGCTTGTTATATTTCATGACGATTATGTCTAGATGGTGTACATCAGACAGTGTATATAATAACTTTATTTTGCAAAATCATGCCCGAAGGCTAATTGCTTTTACAATCAAGTATAATACTCATTGCAATACAGTAACAGGAGACAGGTATAAGGTTATTCAAATGCTGAAGTGCCGGACATCGTGATTATTTCAATTATAACATATTTTGATTACATATTTCACTATTGCTGATACTGGAGATAAATTTGTTTCAGAAACATGGTGCTATCTCATTTTTCTCTCTGGTAAGAGAATTCGTAAATCTGCCTTCTAGTCAATAAATTAGATAATGCTCTGGAAATAAAATTCATTAAAAACATTAATACAAGCGGTAATCACAGTTTCAGATTAGAAATACTATAAAACATACATAAACGGCTGTAGCTTGACTGATTTGCAGAGAACGTTCAGACAATTCGTGCATTGTGTTCAAAGTTACTTAAGATGAAGTGGAAAATACCCTTGAAATCTGGATCACGGCCAAGAGACTGACATAATGTGATAGATGGATCAAGTTTAGATGCGCCAAAACATGGTCTATCAATTAATGAAAACAATATCCTATTCATAGAATGACATATGCAATGAAAATTACATGAGGTGATTGCTCAATGTTCAACGCGTTTCCTATTAATGACTGAAAACAATTACCCAGTGATTGAATGATATAATATATAGATGCCAAATAATAATCATATTGCATTAAATGATAAATACGTCTGCGAACAATAGAATATGGATCTTGATTTGATTTTTATTTTATTTTATTAGTTTGCACATAAACAAAACAGACAATAATAATACAAAACAAGGATAAAACAGGTGCAGGAGGAGGGGAGAAGCATGGAATGCTTATACAAGGCCCTCCTCCTCTAAACTACACAAAATTAAATATAATCAATAAATGGAAACAATACAATAGAAGATGGAAATAATACAGTAAGGATAATCAAATAATGTACGGTATAAATTAATGACAATGAAATAAGGTAATGTAAGTTATAAGTACAGTGCAATAATGATAATGATAATAATTGGTATGAGTTAGAATAAGACAAAAACACTAAATGAAACTACTACAGGGGGCTAGGTTCATTTATCAGATGGTTTTTCAGAGCTAGTTTGAGTGAGAGAAGAGACAAGGTAGGATTCTTTAGGGCTGGAGTTAGTTCATTCCATAAGGTGACACCTTTGTATCTAATCGACATTTGGGCAAGAGAAGTTTTTACTAGGGGGATATGAAAATCGGAACGTTTGCGAGTTTGATAGTTGTGAATCTGAGAGCGAAAATTTAAAAAATCATCAAATGTATCAGGGAGTTTATGGTTTATATATTGGGCTACGAAAAGTACAAGTTGAAATTTGTTTATGTCATAAATGTTCAAAAATCTAAATCTTGACATCCTCACAGACGTTTTTATTATTCTCAGCAGTCTTGAGGGATAGATCTAACATTATCTTTGCTTTGCTCTGTCTAAGAAGTGTCTGGAAGACATGTGTAGTCGTGTCTCGTATTAAAACATAACCACGACACCGCAGACCCTGTCTGGTTTATCCAGCACATCTTAGCTCTTTGTAAGTCCCGCATTCCACTTGAAATCACAACACATATTGTACATGTTTAGTATACGTGTAATATGGGTGTGCACAGATTTTGTACGATAGAGCACAGAGGTGACGACGCTCTCACGGCGCTCTCTCCGCGACGAGAAATTGGCCAGAGCGCAGAGAGAGCGCCGAACTCCACGAAAAACGTGCTCAAGTGGAATCTCTACGGCGACCTCTTTGCGCTCTTTGCGCGACCAAAAACTCAAATGTCAGCAACGGTTTTGGGCGATCAACGAATTCATAGCTCACTCAACGAATTACGGAAATAGAGAACGAAATTTTGTACGTTTTCTGTTTTTCAAAGTCATTCTTGTACATTCTGCATCATATTTAGATTACAAAATATAGGGTGTAAGCCCCCCATATGACTAGTATGCTCTCACTGCGCTCTCATCGCGCTCTCATCGCGCTCTCATCGCGCTCTCATCGCGCTCTCATCGCGCTCTCATCGCGCTCTCTCATCGCGCTCTCATCGCGCTCTCATCGCGCTCTCATCGCGCTCTCTCATCGCGCTCTCATCGCGCTCTCATCGCGCTCTCATCGCGCTCTCATCGCGCTCTTATGGCGCTCTCATCGCGCTCTCATGGCGACATTGGTACTCTCTCCGCGCTCTGGCCAAATTCAGGTCGCAGTGAGAGCGCCGTCTAAGTGGAATGGGGTTATTAGTGGAATTCACGAATTCAAAGCTCACTGAAGAATTACGACGCTCTC